CGGGGGCGGCGCCTGCACGGCGGCCGCCTTCCTTCAGGTCTGGTCGGCCCCGCGGGTGGGGGGAGGGAGGACGGCGGAGGGGGACGGGGATGAAATGACTTGAGTTTGTTTGCTAGTTACTTTGGGGTGTGAGAGCGTCGAGTTTTTCGAGCTCATGATTGGAACCATGCGTTTAGGTTTTCGAACAGCACACATGAAACTGTTATGTATTGTAGTTTGTTTTGCTTAGCAACAAGTGCAGATCAGGCGTTTTGCTCAGCGTATCCAGTGCTCCTCACTTCGAATGTGTTTGCTTGGAGCCCATCAGTCGCCTCCGCTCATCACCATCCCTCCCCGCAGGAGTTTGTGGCCGAGGATTTGCCCTGGCTGCACGTGGACATCGCTGGCACCATGGAGAACACCACCGATGTGCCGTACCTGAGCAAAGGCATGAGCGGTCGGCCCACGCGCACCGTCCTCGAGTTTGCCGAGGCCATCTGCCAGCAGGGCTCCCGCTAACGCGCGGCCTCGGTCCGAACTGGCAGTTGTGGCGGTGACCGCTGAGCCGCGCCACCCGCGCCGCTGTTTGGTCGTCGGCCAGGAGCAAATGTGGAGCGGAGCCACAAAGCTCTTGGGCACGCGGAAGCACGCTTTGTGGCTCCGCATCGTTAGAGCTGCGGTGGGAGGGTGGCTTAGCTGTGCTTTGGATGCAGTGGAGTGGTTGCAGATGCCAAACTTGTGGGCGAATGATGTGACTGTATTGTCGAGTTTCTGACAGTGATCTTCCACGTTTTTCAGGCCGCTTGCGGGTGCCTTGTGATATTGAACCAATAGCAGGGTTGGTGCGTTGGACATGGTGTGGGAAGTTGTCAATGGACGACGTTTTGACAATACGTTTTTAACAGCGACAGGTTTTGTATAACTAACAGGTCGTGCTCTTGCAACACATTGAACCCCATACAAATAAAGATTGTACAAATAAGGAAAACCGTTGGCAGTTTGTGATTTAGCCGGGTGACAGCCACTATCTGGCCTGTTTAGGGCGCACAACACAAAGAACAGGCGCTCTGGCTCAGTCACGACCTGGTTTGGTTAGAAGCTGCCTGCGACAGCATCGAGACATCGAACTGAAAATTGGTATAACGCCTGGACCCCAACGGTATTCTCGAGTGAGGAGTAGCGACAGCTGTTGTGCCGAGGCGTTTTGTCGAACCAGTCACCCCGCCCCAGCTGGAGCTCATCAGCATCAGGAGTCCCGCCGGTTTCGTCTGAGCCGCGTCGTCGCGCCTGGTGACGGTCGAGGAGTGCGTTACGAGCCGGCGAAGCCCGAGTCCCTCCTCAGTGGTCCGGGCCATAGAGGGAGAAATAATGCTGGTCCGTCGTGAATCATCAGGAAATAGGACGGCACTGGCGGCGTGCGAGTATTCGCGCTTGTGCGCGAATGTTCTCAAGCTCGCAATACTTGCAATAATCATAATCGTGATCCTTGTTCTCACGCTAGTAATGTTCCTAGAAGCTGAATGGACTGCTCTTTGAGCGTGGGTCGTCTTCCGCTCTCCTCATCAATCTCTGGTCGACACCAGAACTGTTACTACCTACCTCCCCCTTTGAAGATAACCGCCGATAAGACTGCATGCATGTCATGAAGTTTGACAGCTCGAAACCACGTACATTCTCCTAATCTGACATGGTGGTACAGCGATAAGATGCCTGGCAACTGTTCATTGATATTTCCACTAACCGGACTGGTGTCTGTCTGCACGAATGTGGACCATGTGCTGCAGCGGGCGTATCAATGCCTCGTTTTGGCTGAAATTTAAAACATCCAGCTGGCTTACGCGAGCACGACACCGGAGCATTTCGCCAAAACGGCATGCGATGCTTCCCAGACATACTTTTCCACTTTGTTTTGTGTGGTAGATCCTATCTTTGCCTGTTTTCCGGGATCCCAGTGCATCACGCAGAAGTCGTGACAGCGGAGCATGTTATGGATTGCTCAGCCCTTCAAAATTCTAGACGGCCATTTGTTCTGTACTGACATGCCTCATCGTATTACACCTAACCCTTTCACTGAAGGCAGTGATCACGTCTGCGTCGGCCAGTAAGATGCGTCGGCGCCTGGTTACTTGGTCATCGCTAACTGAACAAGGCAGCATCCATCCCACAGCTGAGCAAACGCTGAAGCTTTGATGTTTATCAGGAAAGGTCGGTGACGTTTGTCGCCACAGGTCTGTGATTGCTGAGGATCCATTCTGTGCATCGACGTCTCAAACGTGACAGTGGATCCTTTCTTGACATCGAAAATGGGCGCTATGTGACGGCAGCGATGTACGACTAGAGGTGATAACATTAGAGAACAAAGTTTCCGTTTTACGCCGGTCTGGTGAATCAAGATACCAAATGAGCAGCACTCAAGCCAGCTTTCTGTCGTACATTAAGGTGTGTTGATTGACAACGTACAAGCATTTCTTACTTGTCACCAATACCTCACCGAGCGCTGAGTTTCACACCTTCTGGTCGCGATGCTTTGCTTATGTCCGGATGAAGTGAATGTTCTTATGACGCATGCAAGATTGTCTTGCTGCGGTGCCGGCAGTCGATCTTGGATACGTACCGATGGTGCTGGGTCGGCGGCTGAGTTGGTGATATTGCGGCAATATTTCCATGGCCCCTGCAATAATGCAAGGGTAAGGGAGATCCGGTTATGTTGGGAATGGGGGTGATAACATTTTGTTATTTATCTGCAGTCAGAGTCCATAGCCAATGTTAATTGTTTGGCAAGACTAAATTTTCAGGAAGCTGGAGGGGGCTTAACTTCCCGCCTTCTGACCTCCCCCCCCCCCCCCCCCCCCGCCCACCCCGCGGAGTTACCGAGCACCTGGCTCAATGGAATTATATCTGGCATCATTTCTCGCAAGTACGAGCCAAACCTTGTCGTTTCTGACAAGTTTCTCCCGGCTTAGGGCGGAGTTCGAATCGGCTTATGAGTTATCTAAGCGTTCGTTGTGCCAGAGTGGAGCCGACTCCTCCGAAAACAGATTTGGGACGGGAACGGAGTTGAGTCAACTACAATAGAGGCACCAGCCAATAGGCATGGAATGTGAACTTATGTCAGCACCGACTGGAGCACGGTCATATGCAACTGTATCATCAAAATAAATGCGTCATTAAGATTTTAAGATGCACTTAGAACGGCTAATATCCTGCGCCGTTGGCAGCGGATCGATTCCGGATTTGAGTGGACTGAATCTTGCGCTGTGCGGCTCTTAGACTGAGTCGGAATTGTCTTCGCTGAAGCAGAATCAACACGTAGTTTGAGTTTAGTTATGAGTTATGTTATGAGTATGAGTTATATAGCACGTAGTATGAGTTTCAGACCCGGCATTATGATGGCGGTGCCAGGGTTTGTTTGTAAACGGACGGACCGGCGATGAACCGCCCGAAGTATGTGCTGTGGGGAGTGTATCTCGCAATATAGACAGTTTATTGTCACGATCCACCGGGGTTAGACATCCAGAAATTCACATGAAGATATTTAGAGACTTAAATTTAGACAGACATTTGTACATAAACATTAAGACAGACATCTATGCATACACATTAAGACACAGATATCCAGAGAGGCATCTGTACATATACATATGGACATGGACACATGAGCATTTAGAAATACACATTTAGACATAGACATTTAGGCAAAGACATTTAGACATAGACATTTGGACATAAACACTTAGACATGGACATTTAGACATTCATTAGAGCTTTCTGAGTTGGCCCAGGAATGACTTATCAGCTATCCAAGCGCCTTCATTTATTTGCACCACTTTGGTCGCTCGTTCGACCTAGCGTAAACACCTGCAAGTTGAGCGTCTCAGCAAGGGATCTTCACAGGTGTAATTTTGTTTTCCTCTCCATTCGCTGCCAATGGAGGTAGCGACCCGCTACCCATTTCTGATCAAATAACCGCCCATTATCCACCCATCAAACATACATTAGTAACCACCCATTACCTACCTGCTTGCACTTCCCCAGCACGTTGTAGATCTTAATTATGCAAACGTTTTGTAAAAGCACACACTCAGCCGCTCACACGCTCCCATTTACGTTGATGCTTGTGGAAGTAGTTAGAATGGAGCTAGTCACGATTGAAAAAAGCACAAACAGTAACACTGTACGGTATGTCTTGAAGTAAATCCTCGACATTTTGTAAACGTATGCTTGAATGTGTACGTACCTATACGTGAACCCATGCGTGTAAACGTGTCACCCGGTAATGTTTTGTTTTTTTAACTACATCCAGCCTGGACTGTTGCCCATTTCACAAGAGTGCCCATGAATTCGCCCAGCTCATGAAGTCCTCTAATCAAGTTAGACCATGTGCGTCTAGGTCATGGTCTAGGTAGGTCAAGTCATGTGCGTCCACTGCCTGTCCCAGCGCGATCCTCTTCTGTGCCAGCACAGTCCTTCGTCATCCGATGGAGCTAGTCCGCCGTGCCCAGTACGGTCCTCGAGTGTTCCAACGTAGTATCTCGCTGTGCTACACGTGTCCCACCGTCCGTCCGAGCCCACCCTTCGCCTGTTCAGTATAGTTTCTCGTCTGCCCTGGCGCAGTCCCTCGCCTATCCCGGTCCCAGCGCAGACCCGGTCAGTCTCGGCATGTTCCACTGCTTGTACCACGCCATGTATAATCCCCCATCCGTCCCGGGACGGTTACGGCGTCCCGGAATCCCGGAATGGTGTCTCACCTCGTCCTCCTTTCCTTATCCGTCCCGGGACGGTCCCTTGCCTTGTCCCCCTCTGCCCGCATGTCGCGGCGGCGGCGGCGTGTGCCTGTCCCGAGGCGGTCTCCCACCTTGTCCTCCTCTCCGCCCCGGTCCGGGCACAGTCCTCCGCCCCGGTCCGGGGACAGTCCCGGCGGGCGGGCGCGCCCCCTGGCGGCGCGTCCGGCCGGCCGAGCCCCGACGGGCCGGACTGCGCCGGCTGAAGACGCTCGCGGACCGTCGCCGCGTGCAGTGCGCCTCGTCGAGACCCGCCCCGCCGGGAGATGGCCGCCCACGGCTGCCTGCTGACGACGGCCGTGCTGCTGGCGGCGGCCGCGGCGCTGGCCGACGCCCGCCACCACAGGTCAGCTGCGTGGGTGCGGGTCAGAGGGCGCGGGGCGCTGCTGGGGTGGCGCGTACATGGGGAGTGTGATGTCCTTCCCATTTTGGGGGAGAGGTTCCGGGCCCATCCCCAGCTTGGGGTCAAACTCTCCCAATATTCAGAAGAAAGTAGGCTAAATTCGGAGAGAAAATGCATTTTTGGCTGTTTGGGGAAAATATTTTGTCGTTTCCCACTGTCCCCCCCCCCCTCCCCCTCTGTTATTTTGCAAAGCTGCACCCCTGGCAGCACAGGCTGTGCGAGGTCGTTGTTCGGTGTCGCACAACAGTTTGTTGGCAGGTCAAATGTTCTTGGTAGGCCACAACGACATGTCGTGAAACATCGTTGTCTTTTCAGAGTGGTAGGGTTAGTAGCCGAGTCTTAAAACCTACATCGCATGCCGGTTAGTTGTGTGACACCAGCCCTGGCATGGCATCGGTGGTGCCTGGCTGGCGCCAGGCTGGTGCCGGGCTGGTGCCGGGCTGGTGCCAAGCTGGTGCCGGCTGCGGTTCTCAGTACCGATATGGCGTGGTGCGATATCTGCCACGCGGGAAAAGAATGCTGAAAAACGGGTGTGGCCAACGTCCCGGAAGTGGCAGCCTTTTATGAAGAGATTCTGAACTTACCCTTATTTGGAGTAAAATTGGTGTGGTGTGGCTACACCTTCCATGCCGCATTTTCCATGTCTATGGCCAGCTGTGACACTCGGTTGAAAGTGGCAGGTCGGGTCAGGTCAAGTGACCCTCGTTCACAGCACCAGACATACCTCGGCCCAAGCCGTGCTCAGAAGGCACGGAGCGTCGGACGTACGGCACCGACGCGCCTTGCTTTGCAAATACGTTTCGCCCTACTTTTTGGTATGTGGGAACAACATCTTGCGTTTGATAGCGTTACCTTATGAAGTAGGTAAGCCCAGTCCTATGACTGCTGCGACGTCGGCAATGTGATTCACTTCCGCTACGCCTTGGCATTCAGTTTGCATTCGCCAGTCTGCCCGCTATCATGAATGCCATTGATTGTCGCTGCACATTACCCAAGTCCTGCGACAGTTGGACAGTTTCTTATCTTGCCGGCACCCGTTGCTCAAGGCCACAGTCCGCCCGCGTCCGCGCTACACGTTCGTCAGCCCCGAGCGCCGCCGTCGGCCGGCGCCGGGAGCTGCCGCGGCGAGCTGACCTGCCCCAGATCTGACCCGGCGCTCCGCTGGGCGCGCCCGAGGCGGACCGACGCATGGCCCGGCGCTCAGTGCTCTCCGGGGGGCCGTGCGGGCCGGCATAACACCGAACGGCAGGCGGCGGGCGATCGGTGCCGCCGGCTGGCGGAGAGACGAGGCGGGGTCGTGCCCTCTCCGAGCTGGGCATTCGGCGTCGAGTGCACGGAACAGGGCCACTGGTGCGTGATGCCGCGTGCCAGTCTCAGTCTGCATGCAAAGTTTGGCCGCGTCAAGTTAAAAGCACGTATGTCGCGGTGTTAAGCAATAAATCCGTACATGTGTTTGCCATTACATAGCAGTATTGCTCAACGTCGCGTTCAGGTGCCTCTTCTAAGTTGTGGTAGGCATATTCTCCATTTATAGAAACTAGACACAGCGAAGTTGCGGGCAACTCCAACTCTTGAAAATGCACTATCCCGCTTCCATCCACGCCTGTTTCTCAACTGTATATTCCAGCCTGTTTTCCCACTAACCGTAAATTGCGCGCGCATAGGCGTCTCAGAGCAGTCCCAGGGGACGGAATATCCCTATACCACGCGCCTCCCCTATCCAGCATGAAAGTCCCGCCACCGGATTCGCGGACACCGGTGCAGGGGTCGGCTGCCTGTAAGTAAACATCAGCAGGAATATGAGAAGTGAAGCTGATAACCGGCATACACAAGGAGGAGTCCGGCTATCCTGCAGCTTCATTTCCGGCGAGTTCATTGAATCGAGTGCGAGGAATGCTTTTGCACGATCCTCATCCCTGACTCATCCTCAGACATCATGTGATACACGCTCCCGAGGTCTGCAGAAGTGCACATATCGACGGCATTGTTCTGGCATCGTTCACTGCGTGGGCATCCACTGACATATGAAGTCGGCTTAAGGCTGCGCCGATAAAGGGAACCCGTCGGCAAACATAGCGATAGAACTGCTCCGAAACGCCTTCAGATACATCCGGTAATGACGCGTGAAACTGACAGAGTCATTAACAGCCACCACGCTCACCCGTCGTTGGTCTTACGCTGTGTGACATTAAATCACATCCGTGAGTAAATGTCACACAGGGTAAGAGAGGGAAAAGGAGAGAACACAAAGTTTAAGGGAAATAGCATGATGAGGGTAAATAGATGTATGTGTTTCTTCACCTTTACCATTCGGCCTCTTGTTATTGCCTATGTAAATGGAAATTTATATATATATATATATATATATATATATATATATATATATGACGGTTGTGTGAATGATGCATGTATACTACTGCTATACCTTCAGGCGCATGGCCAGGATTTCGCCAATGAGGCAAGTTAGACTGTGTCAGAGTTCTCACTCCCTTGAAAGATGTGCTGCTGGAAAAAATGAGAACGCGCGTTCCTGTCCAGTGGCGTGTACATACATCGGACTCGTAGTGATCAACAGACCCCTCACCATGCAGCTACAGAGAGATTACCCTCCCGCGCAAGCGGAGTGGCACCGTCAAACAAGGCTAACCATATAGAGAGAGAGAGAGAGAGAGAGAGAGAGAGAGAGAGAGAGAGAGAGAGAGAGAGAGAGAGAGAGAGAGAGAGAGAGAGAGAGAGACCCCTATGATGATCATCATCATCCACAGAGAAAAGTGGACGAACTGTGATAAAATAGCAGTGGATCCTACAATCAACCAACGAAATAAGATCCGCGGAGCTCTGCGGCCGCACGGGGCGTGCTCGGTGGGTCCGGGCCGGAGTTTCCGTTCTCCAGCGCACAGAGGCCTCCAGCCGGACGGCAACGATCTCCGGCTCGTCACCAGTGTCGGGCCTAATACGCCATCACTTGATAAAATATATGTTTGCATTATCATGATATGTGCGCAAGTAGGACAGAAGTATACGATATACATGTGTAGTCTTAGCTTTCTGACGAGAAAATAGTTGTAAAGCTTGATTATGCTACTGTAGATATCATGACGTTTTTTCATGAATGAGGGTACTTAAACTACAAACTGGCGGCGTCCGCGGTATCCCATACCGCCCTAAATTCGTTTTATTTGCCCAATTTTGTGTTTTTACAGAGACCCATTTTAGCCCAGTAAGGGCCTTTTAACCGCTCCAGGAACGGTAGGATCTCCTGGAATAGTTTTGAAGAGGTTTTATCTTTATTCTACCCTGTTTCCTCAAGAAATATTTATCTTAGCTCTCATGGATATGCATGTCCATTATATACATATATACATATATATATATATATATATATATATATATATATATATATATATACATATATTAAAACGCCCTTTTGGCGAGTGGAGGGGCTATTTGGCTTCCCGGCTCCTCAAGGGGATGCTAAGTCTGACCACCCTTTTTGTCCTCTATGCCCTTGACTACATCGTTATATGTACTACCAACACGATTACAGCAACAGGTCTTAAGAAAATAAAAACTGTTCCACATTATATCACGTGCGTTCCTGGGGCTTTAGACGCTCTCATCTGCTGAGATTATATGGCACCACCTGGCTCACATAGTGGCGGTGAGGGCGGGGACATCGCAGGAATCGAATCCCATACATATAGTTCCCCAAACGCACAGCTTAACCACTACGCTATCACTACCCACTATATCATCCCACGCGATGCGAAACGCCATGCTGCAGCCGTCACGCTACGAGTTGAAACTCCAATTTACAGGATGTGGGATGCGCATCTATCACGTTTGCCACGCGTGTGGAGGCAGGTAACGGCGGGGCCCCTGGCCGGGGGCCCTGGAGGCGGGGCCCCTGGTAACAGCGGGGCCCCTGGCCGGTGAGCCTCCCCGCGTGAGCGAGCCTCGGCGCGCCTCCCTTGGCCACTGGCGAGCACCGCGTCAGTCAGCGCGGCCGGCCGCCGACAGGCCCGCCACAACACCCGTCGCTCGCGGCCCGGCTGAGTCCGCGCTGACCCGCTGCTGAGTGACACGACAATCCGCGCGCGCGCGCCGGACGGCGATTTTTGCACGGCTGGAACCACCGGCCGTCGGGTGCGCCGCTCCGAAAACAAAGGAGCGACGTCGGCCGCCTGCTCGCGCTGAACGCTGAGTGACAGCCCGGCATGTCGGCTGCGGGCGGTCAAGCCATGCGGTGACCGGACTTAGCAGCTGAGCGGCCGGCGGCGGCCTGGAGCGCTTCTGTTCGGTGACGGCTCTGAGATTACGAACGTGACGTCGCCTGGGCGGCCTCGTCAAGCGGCGCCCTCGGTCGGAGACTAATTGGTCGGCGCTTATAAGGCGGCGGGCCGTCGGCCCGGTCCACGGCGTCGGTGCGGCGCCATTGGTGGTCACCCCACGGAGCGAGAGCGCCGGCCATTTGGCTATAATTGGTTGGACGTGTCGCGCCGCCGTGTGAGGGCTGCCGCGGGAGACGGCCGGCCCGCCTGGCCTCTGCGGCAGCGACAGCGGCGTCGGCACCCGGGTGTCAGGGTCTGGAGCTGAGAGCGAGCTGCCCGACCGCGAGGGGGGGAGGGGGGACAGTGGCGCGGGCGCCCGAGGGCCGTCATCTGGAACTGAGAGCGAGCTGCCGGACCGCGAGGGGGGGAGGGGGGGACAGTGGCGCGGACGCCCGAGGGCCGTCATCTGGAGCTGAGAGCGAGCTGCCGGACCGCGAGGGGGGGGGGGGAGGGGGACAGTGGCGCGGGCACCCGAGGGCCGTCACCTGGAGCTGAGCGCGCCGGCGGACCGCGGGGGGGGGGATGGGGGACAGTGGCGCGGGCGCCCGAGGGCCGTCACCTGGAGCTGAGCGCGCTGGCGGACCGCGAGGGGGGGAGGGGGGACAGTGGCGC